GAGAGACAAGAGTCTCCCATATACATGGTAGGCTGTTTTAACTATCAATATAATAGCTAATATTTATTGGGAATTTCCTATGTGTCAAGAAGTTTGCCAAGTTTTTTTGTTTTTGTTTTTGAGTAGGAGTCTCACTCTGTCACCCAGGCTGGAGGGCAGTGGCACGCTCATGGCCACTGCAGCCTCAACCTGCTAGAATCGGGTGATCCTTCCACCTCTGTCTTCCAAGTAGCTGGAACTACAGGCACGTGCTACCATGCCTGGCTAATTTTTTAATTTATTGTAGAGAAGAGGTCTCACCAAGTTGCCTGGGCTGGTCTCAAACCCATGGGCTCAGGCAATCCTCTCACCTCCGCCTCCCAAAGTGATGGGATTATAGACGTGAGCCACGGAGCATGGCCTGCCAAGTATTTTTTCTTCATTTTTGTTTGTAATTATTTGAGATCAATATTAGGCCCATTCTATAGATGAGAAATTTGAGGACTGAAGAAATTAAGAGACTTGCCCATAATTTAAAAGCCACCAAGTTTATAGTGGGGCCTGATAGAGAATCCAGGTCCAGTTGTATTGAAAAAAAGGATATCATACACTATCAAAGGGTAATGTATACTTCTAAATTTTTGGTAAACCTCTGAAAAACATTCAAGTTGCATTGTTAGCACCATAAAGATGGTGTCTGGTTGTTAACAGAGGCCTCCCAAAGCGCTGGGATTATAGGCATGATCCACCACACCTGGCCACATGTTTTTATTTTTTGAATTGGGGGTCTTATTCTGTCACCAGGGCTGGAGTACAGTGGCATGATCATGGTTCACCGAAACCTCCAACTCTTGGACTCAGGTGATCTTCCACCTTAGCCTCCAGAGTAGCTGGGACAACAGATGCACACCACCATAACCAGCTGATTTTTTGGTTTTTTGTAGAGATAAGGATAAGGTCTCACTATGTTGCCCAGGCTGGTCTTGAACTAGTAGGTTCAAGCAATCGTCTCACCTCGGCCTCCCGAAGTGCTAGTATTAGAAGCATGATCCATCATGCCCAACCTTGGTTTTGTGCTTTTTTTTCTTAATGTGGGCCCCCAAAATCTACATTCACCTCTATTTATACTCATTTTAGAATCTGATTAGCAGTGTGTAACTGCAACAAGTACTTTATTATAGTCATATTTTATAACGTGGGAAAGTGTAGACACTATAACTAAAGTACAAAAAGAAAAGCAACAAACTATGTGTATATAATGTGACTGTATATAAAATATAAATTCAAGGACCATGAGGAAATCTGAAAAATTAAAGCTTTAAATTTTTTATTCATGTTCTCATTTATATATATTTATCATACACCTGTTATGGACCAGGTATTATATATATATTTGTTTATATTATATATATAATTTATATTTAATTTGTTTTATTTTTGAGTTGAGGCCTTACTATGTTGCCCAGGCTGGAGTGCAGTGCATGATCACAACTCATCGCAGCCTTGAACTCTGGGGCTCAGGCTATCCTTCTGCCTTAGCCTCCTGAGTAGCTGGGACTATAGGTGCATGCCACCATGCCCAGCTAATGTGTGTGTGTGTGTGTGTGTGTGTGTGTGTGTGTGTGTGTGTGTGTGTGTATGTAGATAAGGTCTCGTTGTGTTGCCTAGGTTGGTCTTGAAATCCTGACCTCAGGCAATCCTCCCACCTTAGCCTCCCGAAGTGCTGGAATTACAAGTATGAGCCACAACCCTCAACCAGTATTTTTATTTGGATTTTTTTCATTTCTCTTGTTTATACAGCCTTAGAGACTGGTTAAGT